GTGATTCTGGCAATGACCTGGGTTGATGTAACAGGTACATTCAGGTTGGAAATGCTGTTGCTGTTCCAGTCGCATTTGCGTTAGGCTATGCGCTAGGTATGGCGAGTCAAGGATTGTGTGATGATAAACCTCTCATAAAGCTCCCTTTCAAGTATCCTCAGTGTCTCCAGAAGAAAAATGAAAGTTCAGCTACATTAGGTGAAGAAACGAGTTAGATTATTTTCCCTCATCTTCGATTCGGACCAAAACAGAGAAATAAGGAAAAACATTCATCCACGATGAGTATGCATTGTCTTTTAAAGATGGAAAATCTCTTCCAAATTTTGTAGGAACCGAGAGAGGTTTCACTTTCTTTTGTTTGAACACAACATAATAAATGAATAAAGACAAAGTTTGCAATTATCCAATGTTGTGACTGTGATCTAACATCATCTTCCTCTGATTCTTCCTTAATCTCAGATTAGCAAAAGAAACTCTAATCATATTGATTGTCTTGAGGGTAAAACTCAGAGATGCCAATCAAGCTAAGAGTATGAAATTGTAGTCACATCTTTTGGATAATAAAGATAAAAGAATGAAACAGAGAATGACATGTTAAACATGAGAATAAAGGAAAATANCTTTCTTGTTGGACCTGAAAATTTGATTCACTCTTGTGTTTATTATGCATATCAAGAAATCTTATCCAAAAATTGTGATTTGATACAAGAAAACTTACACCGTCATTTGATTTTCAAGGTAAGGCGTGATTCCAAGTTCAAAAAGGATCCAAATAATTTATATGTTTAAAATCTGTGTGTTAATTAAGAAAAGGAAATAAATTAGTAAAAGAAAGATCCTAAGAAGAAATGGATTAGGTACCGTCAGTAAAAGCTTATATAAGGAGATCAAGTATTGTAAGCTCTTCATTCACATTCACACAAGATTCTCTGATTCATCATATTTCTTATTCTTCTTCGTCTATACCATCGAATCATGGCTACAACAAAGAAGATCTTCTTCTGCTTCATTCTCGTGATCCTCTTGGGTTGTTGCTCGGCTACGGTCTACAAAGTCGGAGACTCCGATGGATGGACTGCGAAGGACGATGCCTACTATGATTGGGCCAAGGGTACAGAATTCCATGTCGGAGACTCACTCGTCTTCGAATACGATCCCAACTTCAACGACGTGACTCAAGTCTCAGGCGCTTTGGAGTACGAGTTTTGTGACTTCTCTTCTCCTAAAGCCGTCTACAACACGGGACACGATACCGTGACCTTCACGGAACCAGGTTTTCACTACTTCATCAGCTCAAACCATGCTCAATGCGTATCCGGACAAAAGCTCGACGTTCTTGTCGTCCATGACCCGTCACGNCCGGTTCCACCACCACCACCGAGCAAGATCTATCCTTTTGGAAAGTACTACAAGGTCGGTGACTCCAAAGGATGGAATGTTTACGACAGTGACTTCTACAACAAGTGGAGCGAGGAGAAACAGTTTCATGTCGGAGACTCTCTGTTTTTCGATTACAACAACCAAGTCAACGATGTTTTAGAAATCAGCGGTGATCTTGAGTTCATATCATGCGACCCGACTTCACCTGTTGCTGTGCACAAGACAGGACATGATCTCGTAAGGCTCACAAAACCAGGAGTCCATTATTTCATTAGCTCAAAGACCACCGGTCACTGCTATGCTGGGCTTAAGCTACGAGTCGTGGTCGGACCATTAATCAAAGACGTTTCAGTCNCCGATCTTACAAAGAAGATGGACTTGTCACCTATGGACCGCCTCAACAAGTGGTTACGCAGCTTCGGAGCTCAACCCCATCACTAAGTATTCGTTTCTGTATTTGGTTTTTACATTATTAGCTAATTAGAGTCTCTCTCTCTCTGTTTTTTCCTTGTTTAGTTATAATCTACAGTAAATTGTGAGGCAATGGAATCCAGAGGATATACTGGGTCTATAATTGATGCTTCTGAACCTCAACTAGTCAGTTCATAATATCATATTTGACTTTCCTCTATTCTCATTTATTATTTAGCACTAAATTATATATATGAAAGAAGAAGGAACCCTCTCCCTCTTTGTGACACGTGTCTAAAGAAAACCAAAAGTCAATCTCTATTTCCAAACGTTTCATTTTCACTAAATATAACTTCTCCTCTTCATCTTCCTCTCTTCGAAGCTTTAAAGTTACTTCCCCAAAACTTATATTGCAGCTACACAAGAAAAGTTCAAAGACATGTGATTGGCAAATCTTAATCTTCAAATAAAATAACCAATTTTATAGTAATCGTAGGAAATCATAAGTAGAAAGTGTTTCTTTTGGTTGAGTTTGTTGTCTCCAAACGATCTTCATCCATGGTTGTAGATGATTATTTTTCAAAAAATATTCCTAGCGCTGACTTAGGAAAATATGGAAATAAGTATGGATTCATCGTGTCCATGAATATAAAGAGTTACGTGTTAAGAAAACGTAAATTAAGCTATCCAAATATATTGACTTGAGAAATACATATAATTTTTTGATAGAGAAATTGTGTCATATCTGATACTTTTACT